TACAGGCACAGACACACGGACACACAGACAACCTCTCGTCAATATGCGTTTTTCGCATTGCATTGCTGCAAAGACACACAGACACACACGGACACACAGACAACCTCTCGTCAATATGCGTTTTTCGCATTGCATTGCTGCAAAAAACGGGACACACAGACAACCTCTCGTCAATATGCGTTTTTTGCATTGCATTGCTGCAAAAAACGCATAAAAACACACAGACAACCTCTCGTCAATATGCGTTTTTTGCATTGCATTGCTGCAAAAAACGCATAAAAAGGGATCTCGAATGCCGCATAAGTGAAATTAGAAATAAATCGCTGTAAAAGTATCGATTTGAAAGAAATGAAGGCATGCAACGCAGGATCGAGGACCTGGCAAAGCATACCAATAACAACATCAGCACGGAATACCAGTACTGATAGCCTGGGCGAGCTTCACATTTCTAGTGTAATTTTATTGCTTTTCTTTGGTACTTTAAAATTAATCAGCGCTTTTTTCGCCCATTTCACCTTCACTCTGTTGACTACGTTAGGGAAAACAGATTAATTAAAGGCTGAACTAAACCCATAGCAAAGTTAGTTGGAACTGTATCTAAATAATCTGAAGATGCTATCCTTTAAGTCTCAGATCCGGTTCAGAATCCGGAAAGTCTAGCTACTTCGTTTCAGAACCATTTCCTTCTAACTGCTAGTTAGTTATCTAGAATTTTGGGCAATTTAAATTTACAGACATCAACTGAACTCGTGTTTGTCTTGTTCCCTTGTTTCATTGTGATTTTTGACGAATAAAGTTTGACCCTTAGTCATTCTAGGCTCTAGAAATGGGCATTACACGTGTTATTGCTATTCGGCACTGTGTAACATCGTGACTGAATTTTAACAAACAGCAGCAGGTACCTGGCCGTGGATGTCGCCGCAAACCACCAGAGGTGGGTCCACTTCGATCAGGCTGCTCTGGCTTATGAACACTTCCTTTGCTTTTTGGCACACTCGATGTAGTTCTTCCTCGCCTACCTGGCAAACAACTTTTTTCTTTCTAGTGTTTGGTACATTGTTTTAATTTGCTGCATTTTTTTCCCTGGGAAATGGTGCTACTGTTGTGTAGTAGGTTTTCATTGGTGCGAAAACTAGTCCCTTTACAACTCTTTTATTCCTTCCGACGAGGAATTAGTACTGGCATACGACGTGGAATTAAAGCCATCGCTATCTTGATCTTCGAAAAAGAGCTATCGGTAGCCTTATCAGTGGCCGTGCTACCATTTGGGCTACTTCCGATCGCTTCCACCTTTCATAGAGAGGGAATATGAAAGGGATCTTGACTTTTGTGTTTTGCAGCTTTTCAAAATCTTTCACATAGTTTATGGGCTTAAAATAGTACTTAGCATGTCTTTCAGTTTGAACTCAATTTTGTTAGACACAAATTTAATTTCCCAAATGTCGAAAGGATATCCTAAATATTACCTGAGTTGTGAGTCGTCCACCAGCCATACCCACGTTTAGCAGGCGGCTTATCATATTATCAACGTCAAACACAGCCATTTTATCCAGTTAACGGTTGCTGTAACCAAACCACAAATCTACTCCAAATTAGCAATTTCCTTTATTTTGTCTGAATTTAGATGTCCTGGAAGAGCTCCCAGTGTGTCTCTGAGAAATCTCTCAAAAGCAAAATCTAGGCAAGCAGGCGCTGAAAATAATCCTAACCGTATCCATTTACCGCAGTAATCACCAAAACGTAGCCACCAGGAGGCCGGGCTGAAGTATTTTTTTTTCTTTTCAGGACTCGTATGTTAAACTTTCGTCACTGATAAATTACAAAATATTTCGTGCATTTTTAATTTTTTGGTGTCTTACCCACTAATTTTTCCCGAAATTTTTCTGACGTTTCATTTTGACAGTTTTTCCCTCCCATTGACCAAACGGATTATTGAACGGCGCTACAAAGAATATATGGGAAGTCGCCAATGCAGCAGCCCATACTGCTATATGAAATTTTAGGAATAAA